AAAATTAATGCAAATTACTAAAGCAATAAAAAAAATCACTTACTTTGAGCTTGATTGCTCAATCTTCAAACTTTCACCTCAAAGATGTTTCTAAATACTCAAAATCTTCTAAAACACCCCCAATAACTTTGCAAAACATCAAAAAGTAAATATAATACCAATGGGTGATATTTTGATCAATTTTGGTTAACTTTGAGTAACCTTTCGATCTTAAAAAATTCACCACAATCTAGTTTTTTGGTGGTTTTCTTTCTCTAAATTTGGCTCAAACAAGGCTTAGGTTTCAAATGAACCTAATTTTTGGGCCTTAAAAACAAAAAAAATGACGTAAAATGTCCCGACGCTTTTCTTTTCGGCCCCTGAGCGGTCGCCTAGGCGGGTTTCGTACCGCCTAGGCGCCTGCTTAGGGATTGAACGCCCAGATTGGCCGCCTAGGCCTGGGCGCTGAGCCCAAGCCTTTCGGACAGCCTAGGCGGCCGCGTAGGCGCTGGGCGGTTTGCTTTTTAAATCACTGCTCCCCTTGAACCCTTGAGAGACAGCATTAGAATGTTGGTAATCTTTTGGGCCAACTTCAAAGCCGACACATTTGTTAACGAAGGAGCTACTCGGGTGGACGTATAGGGAACCTTGCGACACCTTTTTGCCTCTCGGTTTCCCTAGTCCTATTCCTTTTTTGGTTTTTGGGATGGTTGTATAGCACTTTTTGACTCTGGCCATCCTCTCGGTAGCCTATTTTTGCAACTTGTAAATTTTCTATACTCAATACGAATGTTAACAATTTAAAAATAATAATACTAATAATATAATAAGATCAAATGGTGATGATGAAGATGATGATAACAATAACTATTATTAATTATAATATAAATGATAATATATTTAAGATTACTAGTATATTATATTAAGGTTAATAGTGTAATAACATAATAAGAATTATAAGTTTTATTATTATTTTCATGCTTTAAAAAAATTTTATGACCAAGTTTTAAATTCTTATTATTTTCATGCTTTAAAAATTTTTTATGGCCGAGTTTTTAATTCCTTATAGAAAATACTTACTTTTTGTGGGTTTTATTTATTGATAATCATTGTCCTCATAATGATATAGTATGTCATTATAATATTAATATCATTAGTAACTGTAATAATTGTTATAATGCTTATTAACGTTTATTGTTATTATTATAAGTCTTGATTATTTATAGTATAATTAATAATTAATAATGTAACATTTGATTATTTATTGTCTTATTCTTTTCATTTATTGTGTTGGTTTGCTCATTATGTTTAGGATTTTAATAGTATGATTGTATTTTATTCAGATTCTTCATTATAAGATTCATATATAGAAGAAAATATTAGCAGGAAACCTTAATTTGTTTTTGTTCTTGGTTTAGTTTCTCCCATTAAGGCAAAGTAAGACCTAAACAGTAAAATTGCTACAATTCTATGCTTTGTGTGTCTATTCTTTTATTTGTAATTTTATAATATCATTTTGATATGGATTACTTGGTAGCCATCTTTTTTCAGTGCATAGTTTTAAAATATTTTCAATAAAGCAAAGCCGGTCTCAAAGTTATCCTATAGATTTTTCCCTTCAGCTTCATTGGTATATGACAATCGCATAAAACTCTAGATGCACATCTCCACGTTGCCCAATTAACTCTAATTCTAAGTGCGACATCTTCCTCGATCTCTCTATTTTTTTGGATTATCGATCAAAGATATTGAAAATACTCTCGTTTAGGTATTTCTTGGCTATCAATCTTAACTAATTTCTCATTTGTACTCCTATTATTACTGAACTTGCATTCCATATACTTTGTACCCTATCGTAAGCTTTTCTAAATTAATAAAGACCATTTAGAGGTATTTTGTCTTCTTCCTAAACTTCTCAAATAGTTTCTTAAGTAGGAAAGTGACATCAATTGTTGACCTCCATAGCATAAAACCGAATTGATTTTTTGATACACTCATTTCATGCCTTAGTCATTGTTCATCACTCTCTCCCATAGCTTCATAATGTAGCTCATAAGTTTGATACCTCGATACTTTGCACAATTCTGTATGTCTCATTTGTTCTTATAAATAGGCATCACATCACTTTTCCTCCATTTGTTTGACATTTTTTGTTTTCAACCCCTTGTTGAACAACTTGGTCAGCCAACATATGCCAATCTCCCGCATGCACTTCCCAACGTCTATCGGGATACCATTTGGATATATAGCTTTTCTTATCTTTGTGCTCCTCAAAGCTTCTTTTACTCCAGATATCCTAACCTTGCAAATGTATTATGCCAAAGGTTCGTCCTAGCACTGTGTTCCCATTGTGTTCGTCATTTAACAATTTTTGCTCTCCACCTTTCATTAACCTCGTTGTCGTTCACCAAATAATGTATTTGATATGTTCTAGATTCCTACTCTTCCTCTTTCTCATTTTTCCTAGTTTGAAGATTTCTTTTTTACCTTATCTTGTTCCCAGTTTATTGTATAAATTATCATATGCCGTTTAGCCTTATTTACTATTTTCTTAGCATTTTCTTAGTATTTTTATATTTTTGATCATTTCTATTACATTGCCAAGTTTTATAACATGATTGTTTTCCTAATGGCCTTTCAAACCTCATCACTCCACCACTAGATTTCTTTATCGGAATTTCTTTTCCCTCAAGTTTCTTTTGCCTCTTTCTTTATACAATCAGCCATCTCATTCTACATAATATCAACATCTTGTTTAAAGTTCCATTTTCCTTCTTTTACCAATTTGTCCCTGAATAGGTCTATGTTCTCCTTTATTTAAATTCTAGCAGTGTGAATCATTCACCCAAAAAAAAAAAGAGAGTAGTGTGAATGACTTGCATGTGGTTCAGCAAGAAAGACCACTTCAATTTTCTCTCCCCTATTCAACATCCTTGTTGTCATGATTGCCAAACTTGACCCACCCTCTGTGGAGGAGGAATTGGCTGAATTATAAGCCATACTGGCCACAAGCATGCCAAAATGAAAGCCGCATTGGCTCAAAAGGATGCTGGAATAGCTGCTTTGATGGGAAATATTAGCAGTTGCTATCATCTCCAGATCATAATCTCGAATATACCTAGTTCAGGCTCCACTACACGCTCCGTACCGATCATAGGCATGCATACACCTGGTGAGAGCAGTACACCCGTCGTTGTAGAAACAAGGCAGATCATTAACGGCTTGAAAAGCTTGCAAATATGTGGAGTCAAGATCCCCAATACATGCAAAGAACCATATCTGTCTCATGTGGAGGATTTTTCCTTTTACCCAGGGATATCAACACCCAAAAATTCATCTAGTTTGATTTGAGAGGAGCAACAGAAAAGAGAAGTGAAGAAAAGGAGGAACTATTCTGAGAAGAAGAAGAAATTCTCCATGATACAAGGTAGGGGCCCATGTAAGCCTGTAAGCCATTAAGGAAGGATTGATCTATTAACCAGGTATCATTTTACTTTCTTCTTGAAGATATGTAGGAGAGAAGAGAAAAAGAACAAAAAAAAAGATCCCAATGTTGCTTACTCAATGAGAATTGGGGGGTCTGTCTTAGAGATGTATCTAACAGAGTATCAGATCATGCTCTGGAAAGAGGTTTGATAATGATAAATTAGAATGCTTTGTTTAAAGCTTTTTAATTTTTTTCCTGATTTATTAAGGAGGTTGAAATGCATATCAGAAGAGATTTGGTAGAGGAAACGCAAGGCAAATCATTAAGAGCTAGGAAACATGGAGATAGTGAGGGGCACCTCAAAAGACAAAATTGGTAGGAGAAAAGAGAAAAAGGAAAAAAAAAAGATCCCTATGTTTCTTATTGAATGAGAATTGGGGGTCTGTCTTTGAGATGTAACTAAGAGTATCCGATCATACTCCGGAAATGGGTTTGATACTGATAAATTAAAATGCTTTGTTTACTACTTCTTATTTTTTTTCCTGATTTATTAAGGAGGCTAAAACACATATCATAAGAGATTTGGTAGAGGAAACGCAAGGAAAAATATTAATAGCTAGGAAACATGGAGATGACGAGGGGCACCTCAAAAGACAAAGTTGTAACTAAAACCAACAGTAATAGAGGCACCTGGATGACGTGCTCCTTTGTATTTCAGTAGAGTGGTAGCATCATTGGTGTTACTAGGAGTGTGGCAGGAGATTAGGCAGTTACAACATAGCTCAAAGGCCTTCTCCATAATGTGGTGTACCCTCTAAGGGATTTAACTCTTCTCGTAGTCATTGTATTGCATTTAGGTACTCCCAATCCACTATGAGAGTTAAACCTTTAGTATCTATTGCTTTGGTTGTTAAACGTTAGCACATTTTCCTTTCATTTTTTATCCCTTCCACCTTACCGCATTTTTCAATCTCCTAATTTAGCTTTTAGTATGCTTTGGAAACTCGCAACTATATGCAACTGTAGGCTTGTTAGCCTTTTTTGTTTGATTCAGAAGAAGGATGAGCTGGGTTGCTTGCGTAACCATCTCTTTCCAAGACATGATATACTCTCTCTGTCTTGTCAACCTTTTGAACCTTCATCCTTTAGTCCTCTGGCTCTTTGTGTTGTAGGCTGGTTGATTGAACTAGCACGTAGCTGACTAATTGGTTAATGGTCATTGCATCTATAGGCTGGTAATATCGCAACTTTAGCACATCGACTATTTGTAACCTATTCACTCTTTGATGTGCTGGAAGCAACTTGTCAAGAGCAAAAGCATTGTTGTTCTATCATGTGCCTCGCTTGCAGGAGCTATCGCAATTTTACTAGGTAACGTTTTTTGTACTATCAGAATATTAGGTGTTGCATTTCTATTGATATGTTAACTTTTTTGCCTTTGTTCATTAGTTGTTGTGAATCTATCTTCATCTTTTTATGGTCCTTTAGGACTTATTTTTTTATTTTTATTTTTATTTGTAGTATAAGCTCCAGTACTTAAAAAGTGTTAAATATGACCAATTTTAAGTAATAATCTCAAGTTTTTTTTTTGTAGATTCATGCACAGTTACGTGGCCTTCTAGGTAAACCGAATTCAATAGGTGCTCAAGGTCTAAGGTGGACTCTTCTTAGAGGAAGGAACAATGACAGTAATGATCCCAATCAATCAGACACTGCAGATATGGCTGCATATCATTGCAAACTATGTGTCGCATGTGATGTACTTCATGAATGTTTTGTACCTATCATTGATTCTCACACGAACGGAGATCTTTTTGTGGACCTCCTTTCTAATGAAAGGTGAGTTTTCTTTACTTTTTTCTTTCCTTTGATTGATGATGAGGAGTTGTCTTTACTGACTAAGTATCACTTTGTTCATTTTTGAGTAATATTAGCATACTTTGTTCCCAAAAAAGCTTATTGTTGATCGGGATGATTTCCCATTTCCCTTCAAGAAAATTTATACCATACAATTTTCATGCCTAGCAAACAGTTGATGAAGAAATAAAGTAGCGTAGAGCCCAAAAGTTATAAGCTAAGAGGGTAAGAGAGCCAGATAACTTAAACTCACCCCTAAAATGCCTATGATACAATCAATTCCATAGTTTTCTATTGCATATGCTGTTGTGGCAAAGTCTCTTCACATGGCTTAGGGTTATAAAGAGAGACTCAATTAAATCTTTAATGAGCGAAGCTCCTAAAAGTTCAACCGGCTAGGGTTGAATCTCTTGAGGATAACATTATGGCAATGAAGTTGGTGTTGTTGCGAGTATTGTTGGTTATTATCTATGTCTTGAGTAGAAGTTACTTCTTTTGTATATGATTATTGTGTTAGATGTGTAGAGTCTTTTATACTCATTTATCTGTCCATAGGGGAGTTACTCCCTCAAACTTTCTTAATTCGAAGTAAAGATTTGTGCCCAAGTTTTGCAGCTTCATGTAAGACCAACTTTAGGAGATTCTATCCATATGATCATTGCTTGAAACTCTAGTCATTGAAATCTTTTTTATTAACCAGACATTTGAATAATGAGATTAGTGATAGTCGTTGCCTATTTTGATGTGGTGAGCACTAGGAATGCTGGTCCCACCATGTGTGGGAATTTATGGATCCTAAAGTTGCGAGGTTACCAAGGGCTAGTATTGTCACATAAAGGATGCATACACAAGGATCGATTTCTTGTCACAGCTCAATGATGTGAAGAAACGTCTTACTCTCTCAGAACTGAATTATTATACTTGAAAAGTGATATCATCTGTACCTATTAATCCATAAAACAAAGAAGGAAGCCAGCGGGCCCTCAAGATACATGGCTTTTAAGGTTTGTGACCTAATTCCAGGTTCAGAATTGTTTTCTCATATCCCTTCTCATACAGACTACAGGAATGTCATTTGTTTGTCTTGTAACCAAATATTTCGTGACAGCACAAAGAGCCCTGAGATGGGGTGTCATTAGATTAATAGAAATAGTACTTGATGATTGTCATGGTATCATATGTGTTAGTTTGCCTATTGAGGATTGTCCACAAGGCAACTCTGTAAAGATCAAATTCCTAGAAAACTAGGCGAGAACTCTGATCAGCAATTTGTAGTCCACCAAAGCCAGTGCAGTTCAATTATTTTAGCAATTTCCGTGGGCAGCAATCAGTTGCACTTGTAAGGAGAGGCCAAAAACTACGGCGGAGTTCTAGTTCAAAAATCCTAACGGGGTTTCAATGGGAAAGTCTATTGGTTCCTATTTATCATTTTTGGGTGGTCAGAGTCCTATTTATCATTTTTGGGTGGTCGGAGTCCTATTTATATTCCATGTGCGGCCTGTTGGCTAAAATTAAGTATGAATCCTAACTAGGTTAATTTACCCCCAAAAAAAATAAAATCCAAACTAGGTAATGGTCTATTACGTGATTGCATGTGATTAACTTGGAGATATGGATGGAGAGGTAACTGGAAGGGTGGGAGTTGAAGTTCCTTTCTATTGCTGGCCCCTTGCTACTGAACTGATCAAAACCAAGTAGAAATACTATTTACTGGATTTTGTCCATGTATATATATGAAGTGCCCTTTTACAAAATTACGAGTTAATGCTCGTAAATTTAACAAAAAAAATGTGTGTTAATTCTGGTGGACAGGATTGGAAGAGGACCAGAGCACTAGTTCAATGGTCTAGTATAGTATGTGAATTGAAGGCTGAGTTGGGATGCAAGATTTTGAGCAGTCTTATTTCACCTTTGCTTGCGCAGCAAAGGGAGTGGCTTGAAAAGAAAGTTTGAAATGGGATGGGCCATATGAAAGAAGGCTTAAGATAGTTGGGAAAACTTTTGGATTGACATATAGGTGTTTAGCAAGGTCCTTTAGTGGATTTTTGTGAGGTTAAAAACCTAGAACACAGCTGGTTGAGAGTCAGCAATTTTGTTACTGAATTGCATAAAATGGGGCATCCCAAGATGGACGTAAAGAGCAGCATAAATTTGGAGTGCTAGGTTAAGCTGTGACATACATTTACAGATCCAAGGACGGATGCATGTTGGCTCTGGAGGGAAGTTTTTGGTTCATTTTGAAGAATGTGGTGTTTTTATTGTATCACACTAATGTCTAGATATGGGTCAGTAGCAGCTGGGGCCAGAAATTTTTGAAGGTGTAGAAATGGGTTTGAAATTTTGTTTCTTTTTTCTCTCTTTTTTTCTTGGGTAGGTCAGTGGTGGGATTTGAACCTGGATTGGTAGTGTTGGCAATTGCAACATCCCACCATCAAGCCAGGAATCCACTTTGCTTTTGTTTACAGTGCTGTATTTAAGAGTGACTTTGCATTATATGCTTTGGTAACTGTTCAGTGGGGTAGATGGAATGAGGTCAGCTGTTGTTGAAGGATACTTGACAAACTGAGGAGCTTAAGGCTACCTGAGGTAAGTGTTTAAAAACTGGGGAGTCTGAATTGGACTCCCTTGAGTCCTCCCGGTGCTGTATGACCCTAACTTGGGTGACCCATGTCTTGGCCGAGTCTTGACCAAATCTTTATATAACACTAGGGATTTGGTCAGTGTCTTGACCTCCACACTAGGGAGTTGGCAGCTGAGTCGGAACCTCCCCCACACTAGGGAGTTGGCAGCGGAGTCGGAACCTCCCCCCGCCCCCCCTGAGTTCTGTGTTTTTACATTCATCATCATCAGATACTGTAGGTTCAGGAATATATATATATATATATATATATATATATATATATAGTAGAGAGAGGAGG